AATGGTACATACATATCTAAAACATCATAAAAACTTTTTAACCTAGGCAAGGCAACATCATTGCTTTATTTTAAAAGTTTAGCACATTTAAAAATATTTGTATGTGAAATTTGCCACAAGAATAACATCACAGCGTATCTTTTTGACATCACGGGACATACCAGTGTAACCCTTACGACAATGGTGATATATTTTTAAATTACAGAAATAGAAAATTAACACCTCTATGAAAAGCTCGTTTGTTAACTTCACGTTTGACAAGTGTTCTGTATTGAATATCAAGGACGCAGAATGACGATATATGACGCTTTACGACATAGTAATCCATAGCAACTAAGAGATTCTCATTTTCAATGTTGTTTTATCATGACGTCATATAACACTTTTGTTAATGGGTTCTCGGAATATGATACCATTATCTGTGACGTCAGTGACATATTGCCCCATCAACAAATAAACAAACAAATGAACTATACGTCATCAATTCTTCCAAATAATTCAGTAATTTTTTGTATATTCTTGTTTCATTCCAGTTTCGTGTCCGTTTCTTTCGTTTGTCCCAGCAGTATGTGTATGTGCCCATGTATTACAAACACGACAAATCTAATTTGTAACTTGCTTCTTATTTCGCTACAGTCTGTATGAGTTTCCATTAAGTTACAGTCTATAGCCTATGTATTGACCAGGGGTATTTACTATTTAATAGAGAGGTTAAGCAAATACGGTTTTTCAAAACGTATACGTAAACGCAAAATACATTGAATCAACATAGGGTTGTATCGCTTTAGTCTACTTCAGATACCCGTTCAACTTCAAAGTTGCGTGTTTAGAACGGGAGATTTACATATTTCACGTTGCTATCAACGGGAATCATTATACTCATGTCTGTTGAATACTATCCTTGCAATTTTGATTTCGATGCAGAGTATAATTCTTTCTGAAGAAGATGATGTATGTTACGCATGATTTAACTCCAATAATCTTACGAAACGAGCTCGTTTAAAATATGTATTAGAAAACCAGCTATTGAACTTCATCAATGGCATACTATGTAATCATTACAAGCTATGGTGTAGTCTAACAAACACTAGAGCTGAACGGCTATTTATGTGTGAACTCTACATGTATTTGTATAGGGGCCATTGATACGTTTAAGTTGCGTTCTGGATTTTATACGGTAGCTTAACCTCTCCAGTATCAAAAGGCAACGGTAAAATACAGAATTCTATTTTGGAATTTCTATAATTCATGTATACACTTATTACATGATCCACGGACACTTAAACTCCGTGCATGAACATTCATTTATATGTATTTCTATTGAAATCAACCTTGTTTCATTTTTCCTTTCTGTCAAAACAAATACCATCAAACATGTGAAACAAGCCATTCAAACCTTTGTTCAATTTATGTTATTATTCTATATTTTTTATAATTATAGTTACCAGTTAAAAATATTTTCCCAGTGACTATTGACGACCATGATCGGACATGCCGGATACAATGCGAAAAACGTCCATAGCCGTTCACAAGAACACATTATTAGTGTACTACATTCAGTAGACGTATCTTGCTCAAATCCGGCAGCTTTACATAAGTGGTGACGTCGGGGTGAGGAATGCACAAGGAATGTACAACCCCAACCGAAAATCTTCAAAAAACACGCATGCTATATATCACGAGCGAAATCATTCATGCCTGATCTGTGAGGTTATACTTGTGAAGGCAGTTCATTAAGACAGGACATGTTGAGTTTTTACAATTGTTAACCTCAAATGGAACGTTATCCTTTCCCGAAAAATGAGCAGAAATATTAGCATATTAGAATAAGAGTCAAATATGGCTGTTATTAGCCATTTTAAATCATCGTTTATAGAATGAATGTCTAGCCCTCAATTTATTCATAATTTATAATATTTTGGAATGATGTTTATCATGTGGACTTAGCTAGTTTATGTTTTTGTGAGCAGTCGATTTTGTTAATTCTTGAGAAAGACGTCATATATTTAGTTAAATTATGACGCGAATTGACCAGTGGCTTTTGTATCATTGTTAAAGCACACCAATCTTCAACGGCATTTTCAAGCGTAAAACAGACCGTTGACCCTATGTTTTTTTATATCAAAATAAACACGAGAACACCTTTTTTAGAATAAGCAAATAAAAAAGTACCACAATCCATTGGAAATTAGCGTAGTTTTCGAATCAAAACGTGTCAAAAAGCGAAAATGAAAAAGATATGTTTTTAATGGAAAAACGTTACAAAGATTCACAAATATTGTTGGGGTAGGGGTAACACTTTAAGTGAAAAAAAGTAAGAAAAAATGGCCTGAGTGTACCAATATTCGAACCAATGTAATTATGTATAAAGGAAGTTTATCTAGGCTCGAAAAGAATCGTCAATACTCCCTAAATCATCATTTTATCGACGAAATATAGGAAAATATGTTTTTTTGCTTTGGAATCAATGGTGCCTCAAATGTTCAAATGATGATAACGTCACACCTATTTTCAGAAGCTTCTCATGAAAAAACTAATCCGTTAACCTACCTTTTTTATTACATTTTTCGAATCGCTACGTCTAGGTCTATAATAAAAACCTAGTTTCGTTGAGATTGAAAATGATCGATTTTTTCGGAGGTTACACTGGTATATCCTAAAGCCCCATGCATGATTGAACTTTATTTTCTAAGCACGAAATGAAAGAAACACTGATGATGTACATAAATATGTACCGTACCTTGACTCTATTCTCTATATTTCAGCTTTTTAACTTAATCCCTGTATTACAACAGATGAACCTGATGAAGTAAAAAAAATGGAAGAACCCATGTTCACCAATCATAATTCAACACGGAATTGTGAGTAAATGTGTAATTAGTAACTATACTCCAGTCCTTGAGACAATAATATATCATTTACTCAATCTGGACTTATAAGTTACCTTTCATATTTATAAATTTTTGAAACTTATTTGAGTAATATCTAATATCTTATATTTCATGATTTCGAAATATTTTGGCAAAACACTAACTGTAGAGGCTGACGGTAATTCCGGTTATACGGTTTCGGTACGGAATTGAGCATTTACCGGTATTGAAATTATTAACCGGTTAACCGACGATAATCCCCGGGGAAATAAAAAACACGTCGTTTTTTAATTATTTCGTTTAATTTCAACTTCCACGATGCGTACATTTACATAGACATGTAGATGTCCATTTTGGGCAGTCCGGGTGTTATGTCCATATTTGGCAATTCGGATGTAGTAGCTTCTAGCTCAGGCTCAGATTTGGTTGTAGTTATGTTTGGCAGTTCCGGTGTAGTTGTAGTGTCAACGTCAGATCCAGAAACTGAATTATGTTTGTAATAGTCATTTACGAACAATAAGGCATTGACAACCTCAGGTTTAAGTCGTGCCCGTTTTGGAAGTGATGGTGTTGCCAGCTGCACTGAACTGACGTTCACTTGACACGGATGACGCAGGAATAACATGATATGTTTCAGCCAAACTCGCCACATCAGGATATTTTCCCCCGTTTACTTCCAGAACTCAAGACAGTCAATAAACTTGGATGCTGATGACAAATAGCTGTCCAATTGTTGAAATGTGTAATACATTTAATTTTAAACTAAAAATACATCTTGATTCGTAAGATAGTTACATACTATTTCGTGAAGTTCATCAATAAGGGTTCAAATCGGTCTTGCACCATGTATGCATATAGACTTGAGAAGCTACGGAGAGAGTTAGGAACAAAGTGGGGGTGGCAGCGCATTGGCATTTTATCTTACATCTTTTTACCGGTATTTCGGTAACGGTACGGTTATTAGCGTGACGGTTACCGGTACTGGTTTTCAGTACCGTTGCGACCTCTAAGTAGAGGCTGACGGTAATTCCGGTTATACGGTTTCGGTACGGAATTGAGCATTTACCGGTATTGAAATTATTAACCGGTTAACCGACGATAATCCCCGGGGAAATAAAAAACACGTCGTTTTTAAATTATTTCGTTTAATTTCAACTTCCACGATGCGTACATTTACATAGACATGTAGATGTCCATTTTGGGCAGTCCGGGTGTGATGTCCATATTTGGCAATTCGGATGTAGTAGCTTCTAGCTCAGGCTCAGATTTGGTTGTAGTTATGTTTGGCAGTTCCGGTGTAGTTGTAGTGTCAACGTCAGATCCAGAAACTGAATTATGTTTGTAATAGTCATTTACGAACAATAAGGCATTGACAACCTCAGGTTTAAGTCGTGCCCGTTTTGGAAGTGATGGTGTTGCCAGCTGCACTGAACTGACGTTCACTTGACACGGATGACGCAGGAATAACATGATATGTTTCAGCCAAACTCGCCACATCAGGATATTTTCCCCCGTTTACTTTCCAGAACTCAAGACAGTCAATAAACTTGGATGCTGATGACAAATAGCTGTCCAATTGTTGAAATGTGTAATACATTTAATTTTAAACTAAAAATACATCTTGATTCGTAAGATAGTTACATACTATTTCGTGAAGTTCATCAATAAGGGTTCAAATCGGTCTTGCACCATGTATGCATATAGACTTGAGAAGCTACGGAGAGAGTTAGGAACAAAGTGGGGGTGGCAGCGCATTGGCATTTTATCTTACATCTTTTTACCGGTATTTCGGTAACGGTACGGTTATTAGCGTGACGGTTACCGGTACTGGTTTTCAGTACCGTTGCGACCTCTAACTAACTGAGGAAGAAAAACGCATGCCTTCTCATTTCACGGGGAATTGGACAAGTTGTAGCAGAATAAATGAGGTAGTAATCTACCCTGCCATTTGACTTTTGAGAAAAATTATTCGTGCCAAGAAACAACCAAGAAGTGTGATATTGGCTGTTGTTATGGACCATATCAATTGGAAAATCCAGTGCTTTTGAAATAAATGATTATAATTCAGCTACATTCGAAACTCCTTAATTTGCCAAAATATACAAAAATTAAAAAGCTACAGGTACATACCTGGCCTTCCAAGAGCCTTAAGGGCAATCAATCTTTTTACTCCACTTATTTGTTCGACAACTGTCTGACCAATGGGGAGATTTCCATCCTTCATGTTCTTGTTTACTATGCGGGACCTCAATTCATTGGGAATACCACAACATTCACCATTACCATCGATTATACTTAGGGAACCATCTCCTCCATCAGGGACATGTATGCCTAAATTAGAAAGTAGCGATAGGCGCAGGTGTAAATACTTATATTAATATTAAGACTGAATATGACACTTGTATTGTGTGTGGACAAAAGGACTGCATCGGGTTAGTTGGTGTGGACAATTTGTTGGATAATGAACGAATGTACTAAATGGACAATATGTTTGGATGACGATGTTATATATTAAACTCCTCTTCCAACTATTTTTGGGGATATAAGAGTGAAGCTGACACCCCCCCCTCCCCTCTTCTGGCCAAGAATTCTTTCAAAATCATGTAGATTTTCTGTTTGTTGAGCACTGCTGAGTATATTGAACACATCCCCACCCACCTCCTCCCCTTTTGCAAAAGCTAGCTACGGGACTGAATTTCTTCTGCCATGCATGCCGCGCCGGAGGGTAGGCCTAATTCAAATCTTTCATTTGTAATACATTTCATGAATTAATTATTCACAACAAATGCTTAAGCCCCGTGACAGGAAGCATGTTTTTGCCAGTACACATACCAGGGTGACATGCACGATTTTTTTGATTTTTTTTAACTTTTAGAGCCTTCACTGATTCTTGTATTGCTCCCCAAGGTACCAAAACGGCTGATTTGCTGAAATAACAATATTAAAGCACATTGGAAATAGCGAAAACATACCTATGGCATCCCCAGGTTGGAACTGGATTCTTTCATTAAAAGGAACTTCATAATGGTTGGGACCTATAAGTAAACATCAAAAATAAATACTTTAGGCGATATATTCATGGAAATGTTTAAGCGTTTTGAAGATAATAAGATATCCTCGTGGCCCTATATTAAATCAATTTCTGATACTCTAATTAAACATGATCTAGATAGTTGTTTAAGGTCAACTGGTCAAACTTGGGATAAATCCTTCCTAGAAATCTCTAATGAAATGAAGAATACAGACTTTTTCAGAGCGAGATAACATCACTGAAAACTTACACTGTTCTTAAGAAACATACTTTTAAAGAGAACTACCTCCAAAATGACATCGATTTCTATTTCCCCAGGTTAAATTTCATGGCAATAACTGGGTGCTTTAACTTGGAGGAGGATGATAAACAATGGAAATAAAGTATTGGAATTTGCCCTTATGTAAAAGTAATGTTATTGAAGATTTGATTCACCTATTCATTGTATGCCCTAAGTTCAGAAATGAAAGGTTACAATTTATAAATAATATAACTTCAAAATGTGAAGCTCTTTTAGTAGCTGAATTTATCTCTCTTCCTCTTGTGGAAAAGCTAAAATACATGTTAGGGGATGATGTCATTAAAATTTGGCAGAAAGAACAAGGTAGAAAGTTTGACAAATGTTTTAAAAGGTTTTAAAAAACAGTTTATATTAAATACTTAAAATGAATGTTTTTAGTAAGTTGTAATAATTGTTTTATCTTAATTTGTATATTCGACGCACCTTTGCATTTCAAAGTGTGCCACTGTTTCAAAAGTGTAGATCGACAAAATAAATAAATAAATCGATCAATAAATGAATAAATAAATAAATATAATAGTTGCTACTTTTCTTCAATTTATACCTTTCACACATTTAGTTTTGTAACGAATATCTAAGCACAGGCGCCAAAGAGAAAGGATCAAAACTATGAAGAAAACCAGCAAGTAAAAAACTTTAAGTGTAAACCTGTCATAAGAAAAATATACCCTATATTGATATATCATAACAAACACATGATCCTACGTGAAAAGAAATAATGTCTAACACCCCCTCCGCCCCCCCCCCCTCCAAATTAGAGAAAAAATTGAAAGCTATTACTCATGACATCAGAAATATTTGCTTTGCCTTATTTGCTTCATTTTCAAATTCGACCTTCAGCTTTTTAAAACTGAGATTATACTGAAGTCCTGTTGAATCTAAAATTGATGTAAATGCAAAAGCAAATTAAAGGAATGTCACAAGATTCAAATACTAAGAATCCAAACAATATTCTTTGACTATTATATTAAAATAACGATCATGAAACTATTAGTTCATTTTGTCAGCACAATTATCGTTTGGCATTTACCTATTTTACTTGGAGTTATCTCGTTTTTCCCAACCAATTTCCATTCGTTGCCAGGCACAGGTCTCCAAACAGTTGCAAAGAATGTGCGCGTATATTCTACAAAGTATTCCCACGTGGCCACTTCTCCGTAACAATGAAAGTTCATATCAAGCATTATGTGCAAATATGATCCTACATGGTCTAATAGCTTTTGAACTGGACCACCCGCTTCGCAGTAACCTCCACCAAAATATTCAGAAACTGAAAGATGTTTTGACAAAACGGTTGAAACAAAAGTTTCAATAAAGATTTTGTGTCTTATTTTTTGAATGTTAGTATTAAAGCTACGTTCACACCAACGGCGAATGCCACGCTTTAAATCGGCGAGCAAAGCGGCACCAAAGCATGGCGCTTTAAAGGGACTTGTAAAGTGGCACCAAAGCGTAACAAAGCTTGATTAAAGCGTCGTGTTCGTAGTAGGTCGTAGAAAAGCTCGAAGTAAAGCGGGATGTTCGGCAAGAGCGCCAAAATTTTTTAAACTGTTTAAAAAATTTGGGCGCCCTGTTACTAATTGATTAAAGCGCCGAGAGCGTATCAAAGCTTAACAAACCGTAACAAAGCTCAGCAAAGCTTGACCCAAAGCGTAGGAAAGCTTAACAGAGCTTGGTTCAAAGCGGGGACCCCAGTCTCTTCACGGTCTGTTACAACTTGACACGCTTTGTTTAGATGTCTCAAGCTTTGCTACGGTCTGGCATGAAGATCTGACACGAGGTCAGACGCTTTCATCAATATCTGACACTCTTTGTTACGCTTTCATGAAGGACTCTCAAGCTTTTTAACGAATTGAAACGCTTTTATTAAGGATTGAAACGCTTTGTTATGCTTTGTTACGCTTGACAAGCTTCCTCACGCTTTCTCACGCTCTTTCACGCCGTGCGACAAACATCATGTCTTCTTCAGATAGGTCATGATCTGGTCCATCTGGAAATTCTGGATCTTGTTCTGTTTGTTGATCGTTTTCTCGAGTCACAGATGCGATGGTTTTATGGATCTACTGCATCTTTATACAGCCATTTGATCAAAAGCGTCATGATGAAGGCGATCTCGAAAATTCACAACAGAGCTTGGCAATCGTATCAGAGCCTGATTAAAGCGTCATAATCGCATCAAAGTGTAATAATGCTTACCAAAGCTTATCAAAGCGTGGTTTTAAGCGTTACAAAGCCTGGTCAAAGCGGGATCATAGCGTGAGGAACCGTAACAAGTCGGCGCTTTAATCAATTCGTCACAGAGCGCCCAAAATTTTTGAACAGTTTAAAATTTGTTGGCGCTCTTGCCAAATATCCCGCTTTACTCCGAGCTTTTCTACGACCTATTACGACCCCGACGCTTTAATCAAGCTTTGTTACGCTTTGGTGCCGCTTTACAAGCCGCTTTAAAGCGCCATCAAAGCGCCGTTGGTATGAACAAAAATGACAAAAATGACGGCGCTCTGTTCGCCGATTTAAAGCGTGGCATTCGCCGTTGGTGTGAACGTAGCTTTAGAATAAATGAAAATAAGAAAGGATGAGTGAATGATTACGTAACGAATTGTGTTTTTGAAGAAAAGATACACATTATTATTTTAGTTTAATCATATCATTTCACATGCGAATTCAAGGCATAAATAAATAAACCAGAACTTTGGCTCTACATATTTTCGAGTTCATTTGTAACATAATAAAAAAATGATCAAACAACTTGAGAAAAATAATCTTAATATTGCACCCACTGCATCCTCCGATCACAGGGCTTCAAAATCCAGAATATACTCTTTCTTTTTACCCCCTGCGATAAGCAGTTGGCATTTCCCCTATTAAGAACTCGCAATCTGATTGGCTGTCGCAACAATGTGACAAAAATCATGTATAAGTCAGTGCGCACAATTAGATCACGTGATTCAGTTTAATCGGGCGCTTGCAAATTGGTTATAGCAGGGGGAAGAAGGAGGTACGGATTCTGGATACCTGCTTCGCAGGGTGCATCCACTGCGATATAATAAATAATGCAAAAGACTAAATGTGATATACTACTGTATACTGCGTAGTTACACTTAGCTCAGAAGGGCAATACATACATTAGACAAAAACATAACATTAGATTGAACAAACAGACAAGTTATTCAACGTGGACATAGTGAGCAGCGAGAAGTACAAATCTGTTATCTAGCTGTTTTTTAAACTTACTATCTGTGCCCTCCACTGCCTGAGTGACCATGAACCCAGAAATCAGGAGCACCTAAAATAAACAATAACATTGATTTAATAAATTATATTGCAGAATAGTTAAAGGCCCACGGAAGGTTTAAATTACGAGTGTTGATCCAAAAGTCATACACCGTTTGCTCTAAAATAATACAACATAATACTATATGAAAATTGTTCAGCCTCAACCACCTCATACTAGTTTCATTTTGTGTAAAAATAAGCAATCAATTTGACAAGTAACATAGGTGTCTTGTTACCATAGCAACAAGACAACAGGGTATGAGGAGCAAAAGTATGACACAAACGTTGACGCTTAAACCGTGAGAGATTTAGAAGATTATTTTGGTCAGAGTACCATTATTCTGAAGCTCTTCATATCTTTCTGTGTTTTAACTTGCAATATTTTTTATTAAAGCTACGTTCATACCAATGGCGCTTTGATGGCGCTTTAAAGCAGCTTGTAAAGGTAGTAGAAAAGCTCGGAGTAAAGCGGGATATTCGGCAAGAGCGCAAAAAATTAAAACTGTTCAAGCTACGTTCGCACTTACGGCGCTTTAAAGCGGCTTGTAAAGCGGCACCAAAGCGCCGTTGGTATGAACAAAAAAGACTAAAATTACGGCGCTTTGCTCGCCGATTTAAAGCGTGGCATTCGCCGTTGGTGTGAACATAGCTTAAGTTAGTTCCATGTATTTCTCTGATATCGTTGAGAGGGTATCAACATTCTAGGTGTGTTGATTAATATGTATTTCATTCCATTAATCTTAGCATGTTACATAGTGCTACATAAAATTCTATTGATAGTATAGAAGTATACATTTTATTTCATTTACAAGATACTTACTTGCTTTAAATGAACCAAGCTTCCCTTTGTGCAATTATAATATTAAGAGACCCAAAAACGTCATATATATGTATTTTTTTCCAACGAGGGGTTCAGGTAGATGTTTCATTTCATTCCGAACATATGGTATCAAGAACAAAGGTGTCTGATACAGATATAGTGCGGATATATTTTTTTCAAATTACATTGTTACCATTCAAAATATGGTCATTACATTTGCGCAGTGTAATTTTTCAGAAATGTTGATGACTTGTTTAAGAGAAACACGTGTTCAATTTACTTCACCATATCACTACCAAGCCTTTAATGAATTATTTCGAAACAGAGTCTCAAGCTTGAACTTGTAATTCCGGAGAAGAGTGGTCATATATGACATTGACTTGTTCAACTCATAAACACGACAGGCTGCATTTATAATTCCTAACAGCTAATGCACATTGGAATGAACTACATTGTATAAGTAATGTCCACATTTTTGGACTACCCTGTATTTCAAAGAAAAATGTAACGGCATTAAACACTCTTGTATTAGATTATCTAAGAATCTCAGTTTTTGGCTGTAAATTCACATATTTGAATTGTAAAAGTCTGTCGATTCTTTTCGAAAGTTAATTTTTATGTCACAGAAGTGGTGACATATTGTTATAGGTCTCCAACTTTTTGTGGACGGCGTTGGGCGTCTGTTACAAGCTCAAGATTTTAACTTCCAGTAATTTAACAAGTACATGTACATGCTTGGACTGACTTCCAATTTTTCGATAACATAAATAAATGAATGACATAGTCCAGAAAATGATTTAAAAATAACGTGGAGCTTTTCAAATACACGTACGTATTTTATTAATTATTTAGAAAGTAGCCTGGTAACAATGATGTATCAATAGGCTTAGAGAGAAAGCCCGATAATGTTGTTGTGGCAACAACTCAACGACAGATAAAAACATATAATATTTATGGCAAGAAAATGTCCCACTTTCAATCAAGAAGTTACTAAAAAGGGTTTGGTATTTCACACATCTTCGGGTAGTAAAGATTTCATTTACAAACAGAATTCTATAATATCCGTTTTTCTCAAAAAGTTCTTAATGCGTCAAAGGTTGTTTACAAAAAGCATATTTTAAGAAGTTTAACACCGGTCAATACTCATGTATTCTTATTTTTAGAATTTGCCCTACCCCGGCAAGTTTATATAATTCCTGGAGTTTTCATTAATCATGGATAGTTTCCTTCATAATTGTTTGTTTTGAAATATCAATCTAATTCCTAACATGGCTGTTGCAAATTGCAACGTGAATTATAAATAACCCACACATAGCTAGGCAAGGTGTGTCCGATTCCAGCCAATCCAAGCAAAGTATTCACATAATGAACAGTGTGTGAATTATCAATAACACATGCAAGGTCACTAGTTAAAACAGTTGTCATGGTGATGAATGCAAAAAAAGATTTCATTGTAAATGTGTTATTTTAGTGATTTCGTTCATTTAGATGATTTTATAGAATGTGTGAAAAGAATTTAAGCCCACGAATCAATGCATTGTAGCTGCTTCATTTCACTCAGGCCTTGTTTCCTAAACTCTGCATGACCGCGCAGCTTTGGAAACAACACCTTCATGATAATTATGATTCAGGAAACAATGCATTGAGTCTTGGGCTTAAATCCTTTAATAAAATAGAAATAGGAAAGAAGTATGCCGAATATAATATCAAATAACTTACGATTAGTTTTGTAGTCATTTCCACTTTCATATTGCCCATCATTGTCCAAGATAAATCCAACTGATTATTTATTAAATATCAAAATTTCATGTTTCATTGATACTCACTCGTACCGTACGAGCTAATCCCAAGTCTACGTCAAGTTTATGTGGGCACTGACAATAAAACATTCCTCGACTTACCAAAAGAATTTAAATAAATAATTGATGAACTAATATTTTCCAGCATATGTGTGCAGTGCATATTGTTTATTCGTCTCTTAGGGTTGAAATACAATAATATTTACAAAGAATGATTTTTTGATATTTATTAATATGAAAAAAGTACAAAGAGTATAATGAGTTAAATCAGATGGTGCCTAGTCTTTATACCTCGGCCTAAAATTAACTTTACGTTAAAGTATATTTAATTTGTGAATGTAAATTAATATTTAAATGTCCGTGCAAAGATTATGCTTCGAAATCAAATAAAGATGTTGGTGTCACCGACAATTATTTGCATAGAAATTGTTCATATACGCTGTCCTATACGTAAGCGTCACTCTATATTTGATATTATTATATACAATTCTAAAAATCGTTCTATACAATATTAACTTAACTATATAATTAAAGAGTAGAAGGGATATAGACGTAATGAGAATATTGAAAGTATTGTAAGATTTAACTTTAAGATATTTTTAAAAAGGTTCAATAGTTCTGTCTTTATTCCAGGCTAATTATTTTGGCAACAGAAATCAATGAATTTGGACTTTCATTTTCAATAACTTGTATTGAAATGGAAACATTGGCCTATTTCCTAAAATATCGTTTTCAGCATTTTTCTATCCCTTCAAATTTCTTTTAGCATGTAGTTGTAAAATACATCCAATAACAAGACACACAATGATAAATATCGCACTTTGAAGAGAAAAAATAGTCGCCATTTAATTTACCCAACATGCCCAAATCCAATCAGCTGTTAGCGTCTAGTAGTCTTGTCTTGCATGTGTACTTTCAAGTTAAACGGATTAGCAGTTTCCTGAAATTTGATGGCAAAATTTATCAAAGTATTCTAAATGACCGTCATATGTAATTTACCGAGCTTGCCAAAAATCAAATCAGATGGCAGTAATTTGCTCTTGCATGTTTAAAGATTTCTAGTTGAACCGATTAGCGGTTTTCCTACAAGATTTGTAAAAAAGGCAAAATGGCCGCTTTGTAATTTAAACATTATGCCCAAAACCTATTCGCATGTTGGCACTAATCACTGATCCTATGCATATGTTGTCACTAGAGCTTGTTCTTGCCTGGAATTTCTACGACAAGATATACATAGCGTCTGCCCTCATACACACATGCCCATCAGCACAAGACGACGACAGCGTAGCATTTTTGCAAAGTGCGATAAAAATGTTCTGTACACATAAATGATAAATTCCCAGTCAGCACTGACGGGTCCAGGGAGCCTCAAAATATGGCCCTTTTGAGCATAACTTGGTCTTTTGGGGCTTTTCGGACCAAATTATTGAAAAATGGGCCTTGAATTTTCAAAATGTTGGCACAATTTTTGGTTGTATGGGTCCGAAATGTTTTCCCCGCAAGCGCTGACTTTTTCCAGACTTAATATGTGCCACTCCCCCCCCCCCCCCTTGTTAGTTTCTGGATCCCCCAGTGGACAATATAATGGTTATATTACTCACGATGCCCATGTCAAGCAGCGTGCCTACTAGGCACGCAGTTTGAAACTCTGACAAACTGCGCGCATATATCAAAATGTGAGACGGGGAGGGCACGACTCCCAAAAAGAGCCAAAATACGAAAAATACACGGTTAGTCTCGTTCTAAAGATAGTACCATTCTGTGAAGATGAACTTAATTTACTCATAGTACTCAATGTTTTTCCCGATGTAAACCTAGTTATCTCAATATAAGGGTTTAAAGTAACTTCTGTGTTCAAAATTTACAGTGTAAAGTTATATCTATGTCTTTTTATCGTCATTTTCCGTTTATTCAGCCATTGTGTCTGTGTATGCTAGAATATATAGGATCACTCCATCTGATTAAATCAGCAAAGTTTGTTTTCAAAACGATAATACGCCATAAACGTGATTTAAACATTTTTCTTGTCAAACTGCGCGCCTATATTCACATGTATTTCCCAAACTGCGTGCCTAATATTTCCAAACTGCTTGCCTATCCAAGCTTGTTTTGTATTATTAGAAAACATAAGCGCCATACAAGGCACATATGTGTCTAATAGTAGAACCCCATAATTGAAACACTATGAGAGTCCATCCACCAATATGGTGATCTGAAAATAAAAGTTTTTTTCGTTCCCAACTTAATTGTCACTTCTATTATACACTTTGACTTTCAATATGAAAATCTCATAAAATCTGACGATAAAGCAAAATTTCCAAAGCTACTTGAAAAACACCTACACGTGCCTCTGTAGAAATTCCAATGATAATACGTAGTTTTAATAGTGTATGCGCACAGTTTGTTATTTCTGGCTAAAATAGGCGCGCAGTTTGTGATTTATTTCTTTTTAATCTCCTGATTATCTGTTTTATCTCGAAATATTTTGAATTATACATGATAAATGTGTAAGGAATTAAATATAAAACGAGTCTAAAGTATTTGTCATTTATGTTTAAAGTGCTAGATCGATTTACGTATAAATTCCCGTTAAATCAATGACGAAAATGCCATTAATCTGCTTATGTTTTAAAACTTATATTCATTTGCACATAGTTTTTGCTAGTATTTACAAGATTCGTATATTCACCACAGAATGAACGCATTGAACAAGAAAACAATACAGGATAAATGTCTTTAAATTACGTTTCAAAATACAGACTCCAACTTAAATGATGCAATGTTCTTAGGCACGCAGTTTGTGATCGAAACAAACTGCGCGCCTAAGTAGGCGCGCAGCTTGACATGGGCACCGTGTTACTGTGTGTGCTAAAGCAATTTAGCAATATTTCTCCCAAATGACATCATTGTGTTTATTATACTAAAAAACGTTTCTTAAATTACACTTATCTTCTAACCTTGACCAATTAAGTTCATATAAACCTGTGCACAGAAAGCCAAAGTATAACAAATTGGTCTATTCCACAAGTAGATTACCCAGGACGATTCAATTGGAAAATATTGAATTCCTGGTTTAAAGGGGAATGTCGCCTAGGTTTCTCCACAGACAATCGCCCATTATAATTGCTCATATAATATCTCATCTACTTAAGATATATCTTGAGAATAAAGAGGGCACAGTATCGCCGATACATTGAGAAAATCAAAAAACAATCACCAGAACAACCAATTGCCAGACACAATTAGTCCAAAACAACAACAGTTTTGTCTATATTATGAAACTCTTGAAAGGAATAAATATAACTGAGTGTTAAACCAGAAGATAAAAATAAAAAAAATAGCGGTTCAGAATTGAAAAAAAACAAAACAAAAACTCTTTTACAGCCAAAATATCAGGGTGTTACTCTAATTGTGCTTTTATTAGACATTGCACGTTTAATTATGAAAATTTGAGATAACTGACCAATCCATATATATATAGTATCCCATTTATAACTCGAAATTTCCCAAGAATTCCCATCAAAATCACAAGATCTGACCACTTTAAAGTGTTTCAAACTAAAACATTTTTCACGATATCACCGTCACAAGGAGTCAAATATTTGTAGTAAACCAGCTTATTTCGTCATACCTTTTATACAATAATATACACATAAAAAGATAAGCAAAATAAGATAATGTCTGTACATGTTCACTGATGATTGCACCGATCAATCAAGAGGAGGGAAAACCCAGGAGCATTAAAAGAGATGACAGACATAATTACATCTCTTGATTACCACCTTCGTTGGTTCGAATTTTCATCGGGTAGTTTCCAAATACCACAAGTCGTGATGTTTTAGTTGCTGTTAGCATCTTACATCTTTCTTTATCCTTGATGTGAAATAACGAGCTATGATATTGGGAGATATTTCCCCTCTTGATCAATCAACCATCATCGCGTCATACGTCACACCCGTTTCATCTACTTGGCATTTACAATTCATCACTCAGATGTTGTTTGGTGAATTTTGTTTATATCAGTTTAAGTCTCATGTCCATTGTGATAGCAAGGTCGATAATCCTTTCAGTACCAACCTAACATTGAACTGGTAATTTCAGATCTGCGATATGGTCATATAACAAGTCAAGGAATGGATAATCTTATTCTATTTAATAGAACGGTTTGACGAGTTAGCTATTGTATTCAATAGAGAAAAATCTATTTCCGTTTGGTAACCTGAATTATTAATATACATAATCAAATTTTACTTCGCACAGCTCAAACATTTCAGAAAATATACTGACATAACTTGATGTACAAATATTCGCTACACAAGCACATATCCAAGTACATCCGTACACAAGCCTTCCTTGCCCATCGATGACCTCTGAACTATTAAAGCTGCACTCTTCAAATTGCCCGTACCTTTTCTACGCTCGCCGTAAAATTTCTGCGCCCTCATACTTTTGCAGTCACATTTCCCACGGCAGCCGCACGGTGAATTTTACATTTCTGTTGATAAATAATACTTTTTTTCATTTTATTTACATCAGGACAATTTATAAATGTTATTCATAGTGCTAGGATGTAATATCAAATGAAAAGTGATCGTGAAACATTGACAAATAATGATTCAATCTTGTTGAGCCAGTTGATTTCTACGGGGACCTCAGAATGAACAAATATTATAACTCTGAGTTATAATTTCTACGGCGACCCCGCGGCCTATAAAAAACTGGATACGACGTACGGAGCCCGCAAGCCGAGCGTAGTTTTCCTACGCTTGTCGCAGAAATACACTGATTTAATTGATCTGCGGTCGACATACGGCCGCCGTACGACAAATGTGACCAGGGTGTAATGCTTTGGTCACATTTGCTCCGATTTTCACTATGGCGCCCTGCTGATTGAGTATTTTGTTCAAAATTCAATACTTTATTGAATAAAAAACACTCAATCTTATACATATTTTAGATAACTGTTTTGTTAACATTTATTGTTTTTTAGTGCAATTGTTTTTTGTCCCTTTTAATAATTTCTTGAGAATGAA